TGGAGACGCTCAGAAACACAAGTGGTCGCGCACCCCCCCCCCAGTCCCAGGGACAGGCACCCACGTGAGGACACACTCAGGACACCAAGGGACACCCATGTGCACACACATGCACACACACACGCCTCCCCTGAAACACAGCCCCTGGGGGCACTTGCCAGGCGCCGCCCCGCCCCCTCCCCCTCTCCCAGGTCGCGGGCGCCTGAGCTCCCGGCACTGCCTGTGCCGTGACGGCCCCTCCCCGAGGCGGGCCGCGTGCTCACCGGGCCAGCAGCAGGTCGTGCCTGTGGTACTCCAGCGCCCGGGAGTACTCCTTCAGGTAGAAGTAGGCATTGCCCAGCTGGCTGTAGATGGCGCTGAGAGTCTTCAGGTCCTCGGTGCCCACCTGCACCGCTGCCTCGAAGAAGGCCGCGCCCGCCTTGAAGTCCCCGGCCTTGCAGAGACGCTCGCCCTCCAGGGCCAGCTCCAGGCACGAGGTCTCCATCCTGGGCAGAGAGAAGGAGTCACAGCCTGCCCCTCACGCAGTCACGCAGGGGCCCCGTGCTCCCCCGTCATCGCTGGGACCACGGGGCCCTCGGGTGAGGCCACGCCTGTGCGCACAGACGTCGACGTCTCTGGAGAAATGCCCAGAAGCACGTGCAGGGTCCAACAGCGTGCCCATCGCCAGGCTGGCACCTGTGCGGCTCACCCGTGCCCGAACCTCACTGCACGCCCCTCACGACCAGGGCTCAGGGGCCCCCGGGCAAACGTATGAGTCCGTGACTACGGCCAGACCCTCAGCCCACGACGGCCAAGCTCCAAACACAGCCTCCCCTCAAGGCTCAGCCGCCCGGGGCGAGGGGCCTCCCTCCGCCCCCGCTCCGGGACCTGGTGCCGCGTCAGTCCTCCAGAGTAGCTACGGTGGCCCGCGACAGCCCTCGATCCTCACCAAGGACGACCAAGGCTCAGAGAGGTTCAGGACACCAGTCAAGGCCACATGGGCAGGACCCGACCCTAGCCCCTCCCCCGTCCCACATCCTCTGCCGTCACCTCTCCGGGGTCACGGCTCCGTCTGAGCCGTGGGTCAGCCCGCCCCCAGAGCCGAGAAGCGTTCAGCTGCTGGCCACAGCTGCCCGACGAGACAGCCGCCCCCCCACGCCCAGGGTGCTACTGTGGGAGGGCATGACAGGACCGTGTGCCAGGGTAGACCCAACCCCTGGGACACTGCTCCAGACTCCTGCCCATGAACCCAGCCCAAGTCCACGGGCCCAGGGCCCCACACCACCGCCAACGCCTTGACCAGAGGCCGGGCCAGCCCTTCATGCCTCCACCTTCCGGCAGGGGCTGCAGAGAAGCTGTCCCTTACCCTTGGGCTCTGCCAGCCCATGGGGTGGGGCCGGGGCCCCCCAGCTGCTACCCCGGGCTCTGTTCACTGGGGCCCCGTGGCCCTTGGGCCTTGGGCGAGCTGCCCTCAGGACATGGCTGTCAGGGGAGCCTCGTGTCTGGGGGTCACTCGATCAGGCTGGCCCTGGTTCCGGCCCTCCCTGCGAGGGGGCCCGGGGTAGGACACTTCATCACTCAGAACCTCGGCCTCCTCCTCTGGCCTGTCGTGGCTGGTCCTGTGAGTTCCACGCTCAAGGCCTGACCCGCTGCCTTCTAGGGCAGGAGAGCGGTCAGCGGAGGACACAGCACACAGATACCATGGGGGCGGGGAGCGGGGCCCCAAGCTGCAGGGGGTCCCCGGCAGGTG